GGCAGACGTAAACAGGGTGTTTAATGAAACGTGAGCGCGCAAACACACACACACACACACACACACACACACACACACACACACGCGGAGACGGGATGAAGAGGAAGCTGCCGTAGGAAAGAGGACAGAGGGGCCCCGGGAGGCGGCAATGACATGGGCTGGCGGGGTGGGTGGGGCCCTCCGCCCTGGTGACATGTGAGAGACGCAGGAAATGAAGTCGGAAGCCCTGGAGGGGGCAGCAGGCCCTGGGGCTGGGGGTAGCCACGTGGGGAGCAGGGCCGGGGGATGATGTCCCTGGGGGATGGGGGGGTCATGCGGGCCTGTCACCCTTGTACGGGCTGTGGCTCTCTCTCGGTGGGAGCCAGGGAGCTGGGGGAGGGGGGGGAGGTACTTGGCAGAGCACAGGGACACGTGAGCCTCTGTGACAGGGTCTGTGTGTGAGCTGGACAAGGCTGCAGGGGACACGCTGGACGCGGGAGGCCATTGGAGGGTCCGCAGTGATCCAGGCACGGGCAGTGACCACAGGGACCGGCACAGGGGCCGTGGTGGTGGGACAGTGGTCCCGCGGTGAGTGCACTTCGGAGGAGCCGAGGATGAAAGAAGGGGCGTCCAGCCCGGCCGGGGTGGCTCAGTGGTGAGCATCAACCTAGGAGCCAGGAGGTCACGGTTCGATTCCCACTCAGGGCACATGCCCAGGTTGCGGGCTCGATCCCCAGTGTGGGGCGGGCAGGAGGCAGCTGATCCATTGATTCTCTCTCATCGTGGATGTTTCTCTCTCTCTCAGCCTCTTTCTCTCTAAAAAAAAAAAAAAAAAAAAAAAAAAGAAAGAAAGTCGTCAGCGGGGAGAGCCAGTCTGCGAATCACAATATGGAAAAAATGTCGCGGAGACGAGGGCGAGTGAGGGATCCCGCGAGCCCCCTTTGTTCCAGTGAAGAGGAAGGAGAGTTGGCAGGGAAGCGAGGAAAAGCGCAGGGCACTTCCTGCGGGAAGAGGTGGGCCGTCCTTGGAAACTTCTGGAGGCATAAGCCAAGTACTGTTCCTCTTCCCCGAAAAGCCCTTCCCGTGGCTCACCTGTCCCTCCCTCCCCCGAAAGCAGTGATTTATGGGTGTCACATACTCCCCGTTGGGAGCAGCTGGACCGGCGCTGCTGGGCCAGCCTCCAGGCGGGGAGCCTTTGGCGCTCGTGGGGAGCTGAGGTTTGGGTTTTTGCTCGCAGTCGCGAATGGCCGGACGCGGCCTCCGAAAAGAGCCGTGGGCCATGTCTCAGCTATAAAAGCCCGTTTGGAACCCATGGGAACCTGGACTTCAAGTCTACAGAGACTCCGGTCCCCAAGCAGGAACTGCCAACCACACATTTACTGCATTAATATAGGGGGTTCCTTGGGGGTCATTACCCTCCCATGTGGGTGCTCAGAGGGGCCACCTCTAAGACCACAATGGACCCCAAAAAGAATGGAGAAGGGAGAGGGAGAGAGAAACATCAATGATGAGAGAGAATCATGGATTGGCTGCCTCCTGCACGCCCCACACTGAGGATGGAGCCTGCAACCCGGGCATGTGCCCTGACTGGGAATCGAACCATGACCTCTTGGTTCATAGGTCCACCCTCAACCACTGAGCCACGCGGGCCGGGCTGGAGGCCTCATTTCCGCCTCGCATTCCTCTCCGTAACTCAAGTGTCAAGCACAGCCAGTCTACAGGGGCACGTTGCAATAGAAAAGCCACAGAAACCAAATTGAAAAGAAAATTTATGACCCTTTTCCAAACCAATATCCTAAAGCTGACCGAGACAGCCAACCAGATACGGCCCCTGGATTGCAGGAGGAATTTAAGGGGCACTTCTGGCTAACCACACGCACACGGGGGCGTCTGGCCATCTCCCAGGCCCCCAGGGCACGGATGAAGGACGTCCAAAGGACCTCGCTGGGGATGGAGAGCGAGGCTCTGCTCGCCGACGATGGTCTCACCTCCTACTTCTTTCTGCTCATCACACTGATTGCTCATCCGTTACGGGTCCTCAGGCCCCCGTGCTGGCCCGTCACGGCCACAGGAAGTTCTGAAGCAGCCGGAGGGCTTGAGTTTCTGTGCCTTAGAGATGGAGGCGGTGCGGCAGGTACGGGGCCAGATGTCTAGAGACGACGCCCCATTCTTTTTCTTTTTTAAAAATGTTTTTATTCATTTCAGAGAGGAAGGGAGAGGGATACAAACATCCATGATGAGAGAATCATGGATCGGCTGCCTCCTGCACGCCTCTCACTGGGGATGGAGCCTGCATTCCAGGCATGTGCCCTGACCGGGAATCAAACTGTGACTTCCTAGATCAGAGGTCGATGCTCAACCACTGAGCCACACCGGCCAGGCCGCCCTGCTTCTTGTTGGATTAGGTAACAGCTCATGTATTGCATGCGACGGCATTATATTCTGTTACTTGCTGCTCAAGGCCACCAACTGCGATCAATGCTCACAGTTGCCCAGCTGGCTTGAGACGGAACCAGGATAAATGCCAGGCCAGCGTCCATCTTACTAACTTGCAATTGCACATGTGTTTCCCACCCCGGGTGGAGCATACACCACATGGCGGACACACACTTGCTTTGGGGCCCCATCTTCATCTGAACTGTCAGGAAGAATTCCTACCGACAGGCCCGGCTCCCAGCTCCATCCACCAGGGATGCCTAGTGCTCTGCCCACAGGCCTGGCTGGTGCCATAGTTTTCCTGGGTTGTTTGGCTGATTAGAGCAGGTACTGATGGTAAGTTTTCTGTGTGTGTGTGTGTGTGTGAGACTGTGATTGAGTGTGAATGTAAGCAGGTGTGTGTTGTGTGTGCACGTGTGAATATGAACATGTGAGCTGAGTGCGTGTGTGTGTGAATGTGAGCATGTGTGTGAGCTGAGTGTGTGCTATGGTGACGGCTCAGCCTGAGGCGGAGGGGTCTCTGACCCTGCACCTGAGAGCACTGGGGATCCTAGAAACAGCCAAATGTGCTAATTGCGGGATGAACGGCCCTGGGCGCTGTGTCTATGGGGCTCCGATTGGACGTCATAACGGAGATCCTGATAAAAGAGTGAGTTCACCCAAGTGACACCTCGTTAGTTCAGCCCTGGTGGGAGGCACCGGAATCTAATTTTGCAGGTAACGGCCATCACTCACACTTACAAATGAGCCCTCTATCGGGGACAACTTCATCCGTACCCACAGCCTCCCACACCCCGCTCCCCGCTCCTCTGGTGCCTCGTGGCTTCCCTGCCTGTGGATGGGCCGCCCCACGGGCCGCTGTCGGAGGGCTTCGGCGGTGAGTGTGACCGTCACGGCCCCTTCCAGCCCCACAGGGAGCCAGAGCCATTTACACAGGCGCCTGGGGATCAATGACAGCAAAATGGCCCCGATTAACAGCATCATCAGCCATTGAAATGCTCTGGCTGAGCTGACACATCACCGATTGCACCGTCGCCCGGTGAAGTCAGAGCCTGTAGGAGGGGAGAGCGGGCTGGAGTCGGGGTTCAGGGGGACAGGGACACCCCCATCTCAGAGCCCCAGGGAGCTGGGAGTCAGGACTCGGGCCCGGCCAGCAGGTCTGTGTTGTGGGGCTGAGCTCAGAGAGCAAACGTAAAGGGGACGCGCCACCTCGTGGCCGGAGCTGGAACTGCGGCTCGGCGACACCAAGACACACCTGAGGGGATCCTCAAGGGCAAGGTATCCCCAGAGGGAGCCGTCCCCTTTCAGGTAAGTGGCGGTGAATAAGCTGGTGAAGAAAATCCCACGAGATTTTTGGAGACATTCTCCAAAACTACTTCACAGCTTCCCAACCTGACGGCCGGTTAACCCTGCTGCCTGTTCACATGCCCAATCGGAAGGAAAATGCCGAAATCGGAGCGTTTCGTAAGAAACCTTGGGAAAACCCACTTTGGATTAGTAACTGCTTTTCTGGCCTGGGCCGGTGCAGCTCAGTTGGTGGGCGGCGTCCCGTGCACTGAAAGGATGCCGGTTCGATTCCCGGTCGGGTTGTGGCTCAATCCCCAGTGGGGGGCGTGCAGGAGGCAGCCGATTGAAGTTGTGCTGTCACATCGAAATTCCGCTCCCTCTCCTTTCCTCTCTCTCTCTGGAAATCAATAAAAAAAATTTTTTTTAAAAAATTGCTTTTCTTGCCCATAAAGGGTCTGTGGACTCACAAACACTCGTGGCGCTAAAACACGCTGAACACTCCACGGTATGCCAGCGACCCAGGCGGCTGTGAGTACAGCTGACCCGCGAGCAAGGGCCTGGCCTGTGCGGTCCCTGCTATGCAGACGTTAGGGGGCCCACGCAGCTCACACTTGTGTTGCTCGAGGGTCAACTGTACTTTCCATTTTTCCATTGATCTTTAGAGAGAGTGGGAGGGGGAGAGACAGAGACATCCGTGTGAGAGGACGCATCAACTGGTTGTGTCCCGGGGATCGAGCCTGCAACTGAGGTGCGTGCCCTTGACCGGAATCGAAGCCAGGACCCTCCAGTCCCCAGGCCAAACCGGCTAGGGCACATCATACCTCTTAATGGTAACAGCCGCTAGGATGACTCAAGATGATCGATTCATACAGAAAACAGTCTCTGATGTTTCTTAGAGCCAGTTATAACTTTATTAATTCTTCAGTCCTCTCACAACCTTTTACATTGCTAATCAAGTTCAAACCACAGCCATCAGGCGTGAAAGCTCTAGTTCACGTTAAACAGTCACAGACGAAGACCAGACATACACACGACATCGCAAAACTCACGGAGCACTGAGGTGCGGGTGGTCCCTTATTGGGCTAAAGAATAAACCGGCCCACTTCCCGTGTCACAGCTGAAAGGCTCCTGCAGGCCCATCCCGTCCAGGCCGAGATCCAAGCGATAGACTTCGACTTAAGCAACAGAAAACTGAAGTTTTGGGAACGAAATCGATTTCCAGTCACTGCAGAGTTTGTTCCTCCAGTTTAATCGAGTCCCAGTTTTTTCACAGGAAAAAATATTTCAGGCAAATGAAACCGAATTCCGAGAAGCATGGTTCAGTGTTTTTTTCTTTTTTAATTTTACCTTCATCAAGGCAGGCCACGTACAGATGCTGTACATTAAAAACATACAAATACGTCACTCGCGACATCACTTCCTCCGGGCCAAGGCTTCTTCTTCTAGGCACCGCTCCCCCAAAGCACCGATCGCCACTAAATGTACAGAGAGCCGTCTGCCGGCCCCACGTAGCCGACGCCAATCAGCAGCACGTCGATCAGCGTCCATATCCCCAGGCCGCCGAAGTGAAGAGCTTGCCGAGGCCTTCTCTCCACTGGCCCAGGTAGAACCGGTCCGCGCCGAAGCCGCCGAGGGTGATGCTGGAACACCAAACAGGACCGGGTCCACCAGACGTCCCCCCGCCGCCCGGCCAGGTTAGCTCCATGGCCCTGCGAGGTCACACCTGGGAAGGATCTCATGACCCCAAGCCTCTGGGGATCACAAGGATTAGTACACACTTTGCAACACCAAATCTTTTCCATTTCCGATCCTTGGTGGGATCAGCGTACGTGGGGGGCTGGCTTTCAGTTAGACTCGGATTTCTGACGGTGCGGGGGCTCACACCCCTACCCCAGTGTTGTTCAAGGGCCAGCTGTAACCACAGGCCACAGACTGTTAAAATGCCCACAGTAAACATACGACCTTTAGCGGGACTGAAACCTAGGGTTTCTTTTTAAAGAAAAGTAATGCCCGCTTTGCATTTTATTCCGGAAAATGGCACATGCCTAGAACAAAGCGCGAGCGTGAGTCAGGAGTTGGCACCGGAAGGCCAACAGCCCACCGGCCCTGCTGCCCGGTCCAGCTGTTCCAGTCACTCGTCTCTAAGCATTTAGTGTTAAGGCCCAGCCGGTGGCTCACAGGCTGAGCGCCGACCTGTGAGCCAAGAGGTCGCAGTTCCATTCCCGGTCAGGGCACATGCCTGGGCTGTGGGCTCCATCCCCAGTGGGGGTGTGAGGGGGCAGCTGACCCATGATGTTCCTATCCCTCATCATTGATGTTTCCCTCTCTCCCTCTCCTCCCTGCCTCTCTGAAATCACTAACAATATATTTTTTTTAAAAATGTAGTGTGAGGAATGAATGACTTTCAAGATTCCTTCCCGTGCTGAGATCTACGTCATGTGTGGGCTTCCTGGGAGAGGTAACATTCCACTCCATACAGGGTGGGCTCTGACCCCTAAGCATTTCCCACAGCTGCTCCCTCGGATCTGGAGGAGGCGCTGGTTGGAGCTCAGGGTCTGGAAGATTCCACGGACCCCCACACATTCCCAACGGCCCTCTAGCTTACTGGTGACACAGCTCACCTCAGAGCCAGGGCCGTGGACCACTTGTAGCCACTGGTCCAGTTGCAATACAGCATCTTGGGAAACGTCCGGTTACCTTTAAGGAAAAAGAAAGCTCTCCATTTAGACACATGGGTCTAAACATACCCTTACACAGAGACTTAACGGAACAGTGGCCTTGTAACTAAAAATCTAACAACAGCCTCTTTACAATAATGCCCACTACGGTGAATGGCAAGAAAAAAGACCTGATCATCCCTAAGCGCAGACTTAAAATTTAAATGTTAGGTCAGGCCCGGCCAGTGTGGCTCAGTGGTTGAGCGTCAACCTATGAACCAGGAGGTCACCATTCCATTCCCGTCAGGGCAAATGCCCAGTAGGAAGAGTGCAGGAGGCAGCAGATCAATGTTATGGTCTCACATCAATGTTTTTCTCTCCCTCTCCCTTCCTCTTTCTCTAAAAATTAATAAGCTATTCAATGACAGTGCATTAGACTTCATACCTTAAGGATTTTGTCTTGTTTTATTGCTCCATTTTAAAAGATAAGAGCATTGCAAATGTTCTGGATTTTTATAGTTCATGTTCGTATTAATGAAGCTTGGCATAACTCCAAAGTGCTGATAAATGCTCCCGGTGAAATAATTTAACCCAGATTCTCCAATGTGTGACTGAAGTTCCATACACAAGCTTAGAGAAAAGCATCTCGCTCCCCAGGCCCGCTGACGCAGCTCACCCAGGCCATGCACGTGGTCCCGCACCCTGCAGTTGGCGGTGTAGCGCTACCAAGGACAGGACCCCGTCATGCAGCTGGTGGAGGTGGAGCACTCGTAGTCGATTTCCGGGAGCTGCCAGCAAAATCGGCAAGTCATGTTGATGACGAAGTGCTTTTGCGATCGGAAGTCCTGATCCTGCGTAGCACAGGACACAGAGCTCATCAGTCATCACAGGGAAGCTTATCAACATGTCCGCAAAACTACAGTCACATGGCACAAAGCGTGCCAAATACTCCATGATCTGGCAGGGAGTGGCAAGAAAATATCTGGATACAAACCATTATGTAGCCAAAGCAAATAACTATGGTATGATCCTATGATCCTAAAAACGTACACCCATAAATATACAGGAAAAACATCTAGAGAAAGGCACATCCAAATCACTAAGGTTATTTCAGGGTGGTGAGATTAAGTCATCCCTTTTACCTGGCTAACTTTTTTTTTTTTTTTAAATATGTTTTATTGATTTTTTACAGAGAGGAAGGGAGAGAGATAGAGAGTTAGAAACACCGATGAGAGAGAAACATCGACCAGCCGCCTCCTGCACACCCCCCACTGGGGATGTGCCCACAACCCAGGTCCATGCCCTTGACCGGAATCGAACCTAGGACCCTTCAGTCCGCAGGCCGACGCTCTATCCACTGAGCCAAACCGGTTTCGGCTACCTGGCTAACTTTGTAATAAGAAACAAGCATACTTCTTACAAAAAAGTAGGAAATTTTATAAAGCTAGAGCCATGTACAGCTGGAAGGACAGATGGGACATCTGTTCAAGGTCACTGAACTGCAAGTTCGGAGAGGAGTCCAGGCCCCACCAGTCTCCAATTGCCCCTAATATCCCGACCACAGTCCAGGGCTGTCACTGCTGCTCCCAACACGAGCACATGGTCCACCCACAGGCAGCCCCAGAAAACCACTCAATTCAGGAGACCCACGAGAGAGACTCAGCACGTGTTCACTGGGGGCCTGAGCTGTTGAGACCAGACTTTCTAATTCCACTGTTAAGGGTCATTATTTTGTCGTCTGATTACACAAGGAGCATGTGCTCTTTGTAAGTTGCACAAATTACAGGGGAAAAAACCCTGGGGCTCTCCAGAGAGACCCACTCTTAATTTTTTTGCCACTTTTTTCTTCTGTAATACAGATTCATAGAAGTGGACTTACACTGAATGCATTTTGTAGCCTTTCTTATCTGCACTTGACATTACATTGTCATATGTACTTCTCAAAACCGTCTTTAAATGGTCACACAATCTCCTCTGGAAGTTATCATATTTATTAATTTTTTTCATCTATGCAAAACTGCTCTTTTGTACAGAGTATTGCTGTAAACATCTGCGTATTTATAGTGGTGCATTCATAAGACACATTTCTTAGCAACTGATTTTTGTTTTTAAATATATTTTTATTATTGATTTCAGAGAGGAAGGGGGAGAGATAGAAAGATCCATGATGAGAGAGATTTACTGATCGGCTGCCTCCTGCACGCCCTCCACTGGGGATGGAGCCCACAACCCAGGCATGTGCCCTGACTGGGAATCAAACCATGACCTCCTGGTTCATAGGTTTGTCGGCCGGGCAGCAACTGTTTTTTGAATTAGTTAATAAATGTATGTCTCACTAAGTAGTCAGTTTTGGGAGATAAAGTCAAAGAAGATGAAACAAACAACAAAGGAAGTGAATTCTGGAAAGGTTCCCCTTCCACAGCAAAGTTTTCCCATTTTCAATAAGTACCTACGATGTGCCAGACCCATCACACATAATTCTAAAAGCCTTTACATAGACCAGATGGCTTGGCTCAGTGGTTGAGTGTCAACCTATGAACCAGGAGGTCACGGTTCAATTCCTGGTCAAGGGCACAGGCCTCGGTTGCGGGCTCGGTCCCCAGTAGGGGACGTGCAGGAGGCAGCCGATCCATGATTCTCTCCCATCATTGATATTTCTCTCTCTTTTCTCCCTCTCTGAAATCAATAAAAAAAATATACATATATTTTTAAAAACTGCCATCTGAACCCTTGTAACCAAGCCTCACCTGGAAGCTCTGGTCTTCAGATCAAGCTGGCTTTCACCCTAAAATATTACTTACAAAACGCAGAGCACCTTCTTTCAGAATCTTTCCCGCCCTCCAGTCTAAACGCTCCTGAGAGCTCCAGGTTTACAGCGAGTTCACCTAGAACGAGCCGGTGGCGGCACTTACCACACAGGTAACGGAAGGCTTGACTGTGCAGTCGAAGGCGACGGGCTTCCCGTAGGCACAGAAGTTGGTCCTGCACTCCACGCAGTCGGCAGGGAGCCTGCTGCACAAGCCATTGCTGGGGCACTTCATCACGTAGGGCGGGATGTCGGTGCTTTCTGCAAGAGGCCGGAGACAGGCTCATTCTCTCAGGACGCGGACTTAACAGACAGACACACCATTTCCCAAAGTCAGGGGGCATGATGGGGAGCAAGGAGAGAGGAGGCTGGCATGGGAAAAGAGGAGCCGGGGCGAGAGACAGCTGCAGCCACAGCAGGGCTCTGCCACCAGCCGGCTCTGGACCCGACGAAGGAGCTCAACAGCTTAGGGGAAAAAAAGCATTCAGCCCGGCCAGGGTGGCTCAGTGGTTGAGCATCGACCTAGGAACCAGGAGGTCACGGTGAGAAAGGGCACCAGCCGGGGTTGCGGGCTCGATCCCCAGTAGGGGGCGTGCAGGAGGCAGCCGATTCGTGATTCTCTCTCATCATGGATGTTTCTCTCTCTCTCTCTCCCTAAATCAATTAATAAAAAAGGGGGGGGGGGAAGGAAAGCGATCTCATACACTAAAAGACCTGTCATCCAAAAAGAAAAAGCGAGGGAGAACCCAGCAGAGAGAAGTGCACACATTTATAGAACGTAAGACGCCCAGTACCTGCCGCCCTGGGAACCACTGTGAACGTGCGCGTGGCGCCCGGATCCCGCACCGCCCGAGCCCGCGGCTGCGAGTGCTCTAGGTTTAAGGACCCTACGATCAGAGACACCGGTTACCCCGGGACAGGAAAACGCCCGCGGGAGGTTAAAGGCGGGGTCCCCGCCACGCAGTGACTTGCTCGTGAAAGACCTAAAACTCAACTGCCGAGAAAGCGGAAGAATAAGACGCCAACAGGGTCCACGCCCATCGAGGCCCGTGGGCAAATGGGGAGCAAAGCGCGGTGTCGGGGACCCCCCCCCCCACAGCCCTCCGTCTCCCGCCCGTAGGGGAACTTGCGGCCCGGGTGTCCCCGCGCGGAGGGGCGTCCCCCAACCGGCGGCCAGACTTGGGCCGCAGCGCCCCGCCACCCCTCGGCCCTCTTCCCGTGGGTTTCGGGGGTCCCCCGGGCCACCCAGCCAGACCCACACCCGACGTGGCCGCCGCCTTGAACTCACCACCGCCCGACAAGATATAAAACTGTGAGAGGAAGAGCAGCACACGGCAGAGGCGGCCCAGGACCGCCGGCCGGCCCGCCGCAGCCGCCATCTTGCCGGCGTGACGCACTTCCGGGGCGCGGGCTAGAGGTCGGCTGCGGGGCGGGGCGCCGGCCTGCGCGCCGGAAAGGGCGGAGCCGGGAGCGTTTCGGCCCCGCCCCCTCGCCCCAAGGGCATCCAGGGCGCAGGCGCAAGGTGGCTCTGGCAGCTGCGACGCTGACTGGTTGCCTTGGTTTCCAAGCGCCTCCTATGCCCGAGGACTAGGCGCTCGCCCCTCTAGAGACCGGGAAAGGTCACCGGGACCGAAATGCACACCTGAAATGGCAAAGCAGAGGCGGGCTCGTTGGGGAGGTGGCACCACTCACATGTGGCTGGATGGATCTATTTAGACAAAAGCCGCCACGTCCAGGTACTGTGCGACAGTTTTGATGACATTCCATTGCCTTGTCTGCCGATGAAGAAACTATGGGAAGTGACTGAGGCTCTCCGATGGGCCAGCTGGCCCCGCGATCCTGCGGCTGGCCCAGCCTGTACCCAGCTGGCATCTCTCTGCAGCTGCCATGGGTTCAAGACACTTGTTACCTCCAGATGTTCCTCTAAGACTGGGAGAGGCCGGACGTTAAGTCAGCAGGATTCCAGGCCCCCAGGCACCCGGACAGGAGCCCTGGATGTAAGATGAGGGTCCAAAGCCTGGGTCCCTCCCTGGAGGCCAGCCTTGGGGATGGGAGAGGCCCCCAGGCATCCTGCGTGCTCATGTGACAAACAGTAGATTCCACAATACTGGACCTGAATCCTTTGTCAATACCCCAATGTTTAGTGTTAGCTTCTCTTGTGGTTGTTGGTTATTTAAAACAGATGAGAACATACTGTTACTAGAAAATAAGATGTTCTGCCATATTCTAAAGAGGTTGCAGACTTTTATTTAAAACCTATATTTTGAAAATCACAAAACTTAGCAATAACACTTCATCATCCTCATTTCCTGATATTTCCCTTTTTTTCAATGAATAACATTTTCCCATATAAGTCTCTCAAGACTTTTGGGAAATTAAAAATTTCCCCAAGCTTGTTCTCAGACACATTAGTGAATTAAACTTCATACATATCGGCTACTCATTCATTGCCTCCTCTTCCACTGTCCCCGCAGAGGAACCGTCAGTGGGCCCAAAGTTCTCAGAAGTACTAATTTTAATTAAGAAAAATGCATTTTTTTTGGGGGGGTGGGGGTGTCAAAACAAGGTTACACAGAAGGGAGAGCAAGGAAAGACTTCAGAATTCTTCCTCAGCATTTAGTGTCCGCGATTTCTTGAGATTCTTCAATTTCTCGATGGCAGAAGCGAGTGATACCTCTCCATGAATTCTGTTGTCCCTTGTTCGAACGTTGACAGCATTGTTTGCTTTTTCCTTTTCTCCAACCACTGTAGAAAAGAAAGGGAAGTAAGATTGTAAATCAATTTACAAAAGACTGAGCGAGCAGTCACATGACTGGTGTCTTGAGTTTTTCTTCAGTATGGAATTAAAGTGCAAAAAAACAAGCATTTAGGAGAACAGATGCAACTTGAAATTACCCAAAATAAAATTATACTGAGCCAGCTGTGCGTTTCGGATTTTCTTATTCAGTGTACAGCTATGATCTAAATCGACGTCGGCCATGAATCCTTCTTCAAAAAATGTGCTGGACACCTACAAGAATAGAAAATGCTCTATTATTGCATTGGCCTGTGGACTGAAGGGTCCCAGGTTTGATTCCGGTCAAGGGCACATGCTCAGGTTGTGGGCTAGAGCCCCAGTAGCAGGCGTGCAGGAGGCAGCCTATCAGCGATTCTCCCTCATCACTGATGTTACTATCTCTCTCTCCCTTCCCCTTCCTCTCTGAAATCAATAAAAATATATTAAACGACAAAAAAGAAGCGTTTGTTGTTTTAAGCTGCTAAATTTTGGGGTAATTTGTTACACAGCAATAGATAATATAAGTATTCTGTCCAAATAGAGCCACATGGAAAAGAATAACAAATATGAGATGTTTTAAAACAGCAATTTCTCAAAAACATCCAGAAATAAAATAGTTCTGATACAGTACATAGGCATTACTCCCAATGGCTAAAAACATGGGCTGGCAGTGAATGCATTAGTTACGCAGTATTTTCAGGCATGAATACGTTTCAGGTAAAAAACCTTCACACACTAGATGCCAAGATTGTTCTGTGCTTGGCTGTGCACTTAGATTGGACAGAAGGTGACAAGTGGGTTTGTCATTAAATGCGTCTGATTTTACCTGAAGTGCATACTTGTCACAAGTCGGACCCACAGGGATGACCATCACCTGACGCGGAGACAGCCAGAAAGGCCTGAGAAATAGAAAAAATAGGTATTTTCAGAATGACCATTTGTTGCATGATTAAAAATTACCAAAGATTTTTTTGTGAGCTTTCTCATTCAATGGTTTTTAAAAAATATTTGATTTCAGAGAGAAAGGGAGAGGGAGCGAGAGAGAGAAACATCAATGATGAGAATCATCGATCTGCTGCCTCCTGCACGCCCCCTGCTGGGGATCCAGCCCGCAACCTGAGAATGTGCCTTTGACTGGAATGGAAACTGGGACCCTTCAGTTGCGAGCCAATGCTGTACCCACTGAGCCAAACCGGCTAGGGCTCATCACTGATGTTTCTCTCTCTCTCTCTCCCCCTCCCCGTCCTCTCTGAAATCAATTAAAGATATATATATATATATTACACCCCGCACTTGAGGGCATTTCCCTTCCCCACTTCGCCCCTAAGCGCGGGGCTGGGCCTGGGGAGCAGTTCTCTCTGGTTTGTGCCAACGTGCTGCTCAGGGCCATTTGTGCTGCGGGGTTTCCTCCAAAGTCAGTGGTCACAGGGCGCCCCACGAGGCAAACACCGGGTTGAAGGAGGGACGGCAGTGTGGCAGGAGGGGGTACCCCCCTGGAGTGTGGGCCTTGTGATTCCCAGAGTTCGACTTTCAAAGGCGTGAAATGGTGAGAACAGGACTGTGTAAGTCTACTGAGTCCCCAGAAGGCAAAGAGACAGCTTCATGTTGCTCGGCCTTTACTTCCTGACTCGGCAGCGGGAGCGGGAATCTTTCACTTGCCGTGTGATGCTGGCTAAGGATAAGGCGGGAGCCACCAGTTTGTTTTCACGTTAGTTTCTCTCTCAGACGTGACTGCTAAGGAATAACAGACACGTTTCCTTTTCCACGTCACTTACCACTTCCCCCCGTAGTTTTCCGACAGGATGGCTATCATTCTTTCCACTGAGCCCAGAACGGCTCGGTGAATGATCACAGGGCTCTTCTTGTCATCCCCGTCCTTACTAACGAAGGAAAATGACACATTTCAGGGTGTTTTTTTTTTAAATACACTTTTTATTGATTTCAGAGAAGTGAGTAAGGGAGAGAAATATCAATAATGAGAATCATTGATCGGCTGCCTCCTGCACGCCCCCTAGTGGGGATCGAGCCCGCAACCCAGGCATGTGCTCTGACTGAGAATCTAACCATGACCTCCTGGTTCATAGGTCAATGTCCAACCACTGAGCCACACCACCCAGGCCTGCTGACTGATTTTTGATAAAAGCACAACAGCAAGTCAATGGAGAAAGGATGCTCTCTACAATCAATGATGCTAGAATAATTAGACATCTAGATGTAACCAATGAACTCTGACCTAAACTTTCACATCTCAGACAGAAATTGGACTCCAAATGGATCTTAGACCTACATGTAAAACTCAATACTAGAAAATTTTTAAGATAAAACATAGGGGAAATCTTCATTGCCTGTGCTTAGGCAAAGAGTGTGCAGACATGATGCCAAAAACATGACCCGTAAGAGAAAAACTCTATGACTTAGACATCAGTGAAATACAAAACTTAAAATGAATGGAAAAGTGAAGACACTATTAAAAAAAAAAAGAAGAAGACGCTACAGCCTGGCCAGGGTGGGTCAGTGGTTGAGTATCCATCTTTGAACCAGGAGGTCACGGTTCAATTCCCAATCAGGGCACATGCCCAGGTTGCGGGCTTGATCCCCAGTGGGGGGCGTACAGGAGGCAGCCGATCAATGATTCTCCCTCATCATGGATGTTTCTCTCCCTCTCCCTTCCTCTCTGAAATCAATATATATATATATATTTAAAAAAAAAAAGCTACAGCTTAGGAGAAAATACTAGCAAATCACATACACATCCAAGGGCTTACATCTAGACTCTATAAAGAGCTCTCGACACTCACAGCGCCACGTGACGAGGATGTCAGCCTGCACTGTTCCCCACATCCAACCACTCACCTGACATAGGTGAGATTAAACCTCCGCGGGAGCTGGAAGTCCAGCTGGATGGTCGCACACTGATGGGACCTGCCCAAGGCGTCCTTGATGTTGATGTCAATCTGCAAAGCAGGTGAGGTTTGCTTAGACACGGTTTCTATTTCTCTTTTCCACCGTCCTCTTTGTTGGAGCACAGGGTCCACTTACTTTAGGGCCATAAAATGCTCCATCTCCTGGGTTCAGCTTCCATGGTTTTCCAAATTCCATCAAGCTCTTCTGCAGTTGCTATTAAGAAAAGAAAAGAGAAAGATGAGAACGTGCCTGGCTGGCGTGACATTGACCTATGAACCAGGAGATTGCTGGTTCAATTCCCGGTCAGGGCACGTGCCTGGTTGCGGGCTCGATCCCCAGTAGGGGGCGTGCAGGAGGCAGCCAGTCAATGATTCTCCTCACTGATGTTTCTCTTTCTCCTTACCTCTCCCTGAAATCAATAAAAAACATATATATATATATATATATATGAAAGAAAAAAATTAAATTCAAAAAGAACAAAAAAACCCAGCCTTAGCTGGTTTGGCTCAATGGATAGCACATTGGCCTGCGAACTGATGGGTCCCAGGTTTGATTCCGGCCAAGAGCACATGCCCGGTAGGGGGCATGCAGGAGGCAGCTGATCAATAATTCTCTCTTATCATTGATGTTTTTCTCTCTCTCTTCCTTCCTTTCTGAAATCAATACAAATATATTTAAAACAAATAAAAACAAACAATGACAGCGGTTATTAGTGATTGGCACTGGAAAGAGTAGACCTTGCTATGAACTGTGAAGTGTGAAACGCACGTACGGTGGTGCTGTCATCACCGTGACGAGGACAGCTGGGTAACTGCGTTATGCAGCTGGTTTGTCTGGCCCAGAGCTTCCCACGTCCAACCCCACGGCAGGGCGCTGCCCTTCGCACAGGTGAGTGCAGCCACGCGAGCATTACCCTGAGTCAGTGCTCCGTCCCGCCTACCTTTTCAGCCTCGTCCCATAGCTCGAGCTCGCCTAAGAAGTTCTCCGGCCGTGTTGACAGATTCAGTTGAAAGGAGAAGCCGAACGTGGAGTAAACAGACTGCAAGAACTGCAGACACCCCCGGATTTCCTCTTCAATCTGAAATGAGAGCAAATGAAATGTCTTATTAAAAAAAATTTTTTTTAAATTATTTTTACTGATTTCAGCCCTAACTGGTTTGGGTCAGTGGATAGAGCATCGGCCTGCAGACTGAAGGGTCCCGGGGTTCAATTCCAGTCAAGGGCACATGCCCGGGTTACGGGCTCAGTCCCTGTTAGGGCGTGTGTAGGAGGCTACTGATCCATGATTCTCTCTCATCATTGATGTTTCTCTCTCTCCCTCTCCGAAATATATATATATATTTTAAAAGAGATTACTGATCTGAGACCCCAATTTGAGAATCACAGACTGTTAGGCTGAAGGAGACCTCAGAGATGAAACTGAACTTTGTAGTTTACAGTGACTCTGAGAGACTGAGAGATGCTGTGAGACGAGGAGAGCAGGCAGCACGGAGTTGGCGCCGCCCAGGCCCGCCCGGCACTGCTCACCTGCTCCACGGTGCAGAAGATGTGGGCGTCGTCCTGCTGGAAGCGTCGAACCCGGGTCAGGCCACTCAAGGTTCCCGACAGCTCGTTTCTATGAAGAACCCCAAAGTCGGCAAATCGAATGGGCATTTCCCTCCAAGACCGCGGGTGGTGGGCAAACATGAGACTAGAAAAGAGGCGGTAACACACAGCTTTTACTCAGCGGGGAGATGGTGAGTGATTAGCTAAACAGCAACAAGTTATGATTAAGCCTCAAGACGGATCCATTTTTATTCTGGTTCTCAGATCACGAGCTTTAAAGAAACTTCTCCTGAATTACCGCACCTTGGATTTGCATTGCTCTGGTGCCCTAAGAACTTGTCTACCATATCTCCCAGAATGCATCTCTCCCAGAATGCAGCCTCCTATTCTCATTCACCCAGGGAATTCCCACTCACCGTTTACCACTCATTTCAAAGACCACTTTTTTTTCTTTTAAAGAATAGTTTATTGTGGCCTGCATGGCTCAGTGGTTGAGCATCAACCTATGAACCAGGAGGTCACAGTTCAATTCCCAGTCAGGACACATGCCTCGATTGCAGGCTCAATCCCTAGTGTGGGGCGTGCAGGGGGCAGCCAATCTATGATTCTCTCTCATCATTGATGTTTCCATCTCTTCCTCCCTCTCTCTTCCTCTCTGAAATCAATAAAAAAAATTTAAAAAAAGAGAATAGTTTGTTGATTTTTAGAGAGCTGGGAAGGGAGAGGGAGAGAGAAAGATTGACGGGAGGGCAAAATACCCATCGGCTGCCTCCTGCACGCCCCCTACTGGGGATCGAACCCGCAATCCAGGCATGTGCCCTGACTGGGAATGGAACTGGCGACCTCTCGGTGCACAGACAACACCCAACCCACGGAGCCACACTGACCGGGCCTACTTGACAGTTAATACTCACCAGTGCCCTGGGCAGTTCATGGGTTTAAGGGCAAAAGTGTCCTTGTCCACATGGAAGGTGAACATGTTCTGGCTGTAGTGCTGCCAGTGGCCTGAGGCCTCCCAGAGTTTACTGTTGAGGACGTTGGGAGAGAGCACTTCCGTGAAGTCCCGGCGGTGATACTCCTCCTGCGAGGAAAGGCATGGCGAGGTCAAGGCCACGCGGAGCCCGACTGCGCGCACGCCGTGTGGACGCAGGATCACCTCGTGTGACGTGTGGTGAGCGTGCCCGCAGTGGGGGGGTGGTCCCTTCGCACCGTGGGAGGTGAACGCACTCTCTGTTTTTCATGTGAAGTATGTCTATCACGACAGCACGTGATGCTCTGATTCTCTGTGACTTAGGAGCTGGAATACTCCACAGAGAGCATTTATAAAAGCATAGCTCTCCAAGGCCAGTGAGCAGGGAGAGGAGGAAAGCTACGTTCTTCAGGGTCAGGGTTGCCTCCGCCGGCTGGGAGAGCTGCAACCACACGGGAGGATCCGAAGCAGGCCTGCGTCAGCTGACAGAGGCTTCTAGGACCCACAGTTATTATTATTGGGGGTTTTTAAAAAGTGATTTTTACAGAGAGAGGAAGGGAGAGGGAGAGAGGGATAGAAACATCGATGAGAGGGAAACGTCAATCGGCCGCCTCCTGCACGCCCAACACTGGGGATCGAGCCTGCAACCCGGGCCTGTGCCCTGACTGGGAAATGAACCGCGACATCCTAGTTAATAGGTTGATGCTCAACCACTGAGCCACACCGGCCAGGCTGTAGGACCCACCTGTTTAAGGCACTGGTTCTGTCTCCTATCGGAAATACCCTTGCCATTCTGATACCCAGTGCCACGTCTATGGCTTTCTCTCTCAGGAAGCTTTTAGAGTATTTTCTTTCTCTCTCAAGCTCTAGAATCTCTCAGCAATGTGCACGGTGGCCAAGGACAGCATGCTTTCACACACAGAACCCCCGACACCAGACCTGCCCCTTGCCCACGTGGGGCCCCCGATGCTACGGACCCACAGGCAGAGACCGACTGGCTCTCTGGCCAGGATGACGGGCCGCGATTCCTGGGGACACTGATACACAGTAGAGTGAGGGCTGCGTCTGGGGTGCAGGGAGGAGCCTCAAGCGCTTCCATATCCAACAACGGCCAGCGGAGAGCCCCAGCGACCCAGTTAAGACAGTCTCGCTAAGAACCCGGGTCCTTTGGGGAGAAGATGGAGGTCACCCACAGTCATGGGTGGAGTATATCCCTCCCCCCAAGAAGCTAGGTGGGAGCTCGGGATGCGACCTTATTTGAAAACATCTTTATCGAGGGGGTCAAGTTCAGAGGAGGTCATTGGAGAGGGTCTTAATCCAATGGGACTGGTGTCCTCATAAAAAGAGGTTTGGAGAGAGAGAAAGGAGGCGAGAGAGAGAGAGAGAGAGAGAGAATGAGAATCACGTAGAGGAAGATGACGTGAAGACACGCAGGGAGAATGCCAAGGGAAGGCAGGAGACTGGAGTGAGGCACTGACACGCCAAGGAAGCCCAGCGGTGACTGACACCCCGCCCCTGGCTGGGAAAGGGCAGGGAGGACGGGTTCCCCGCGGGTCTCAGAGGGAGCACAGCTCTGCCAACGCCTGGATTTCACGCTTCCCGCCTTCAGAACAGCAGAGGACACATTCCTGCTTTAGGCCACTCGTTGTGTGTGTGTGTGTGTGTGTGTGTTAAAATATCTTTTTCTTGATTTCAGACAGGAAGGGGGAGGGAGAGAGATAGAAACATCGAAGATGAGAGAGAATCATGGATCAGCTGCCTCCTGCACGCCCCCTACTGGGGATGGAGCCCACTACCCGGGCATGTGCCCTGACCGGGAAAGGAACCGTGACCTCCTGGTTCATAGGTCGATGCTCAACCACTGGGCCACGCTGGCCGGGCAGATTTTGCAGCTTTATGTGTGTGCTGCATGCACAGGCCACTTCCTTCCGCCAAGGGTACCTGGGCGTTCACGGCACCCACCTCAGCTGCGTCTGCCCCACAGGCCCATCCCAAGACGCGGGGCGCAGGCCTCCCCCGGCACCCTTACCTTGGCACGAGAGGCCTGGGGCTGTGTGTCTAAAGGGCTGCGCACCCTGCACCTCACACAGGGAGACCTGGGGCCGCCCCCAGCCAGGTCTGTGTTGCATCTACGAGAGATAAGAGATCCTGTAAGGCCGCCCCGGAGGCCCCGCCTCGTCTCTGCGCTCCTCCCACGGCCTGGAGAGTTCCAGGTGCAAGGGGCCAGGATGCTTTCCCAGCAAAGACGGCGGCGCATTGGGATCAGCAGTCATGACGGTCCTCGCCCCCCGCTGGCGCCTCTGATCACAGTGATTCCTCCGGCCTCGCCTCCCTGCCCTCTGGTCGCCTCCTTCGGCTTCGCGGGGGCCAGCCCCTAGGAAAGACGGCAGCCCAGGTGAGCGAGTCCAGCGTGGGCAGCGTCCAGGGGGGCAGCGGGAGAAGAGGGGACAAAACGAGACTAGTGTCTCAGACACAACCTCCCGCACAGGCCACGTGCTGTCCCTGGGAAGTTCTTCTTTTTTTAAAAAAAATATTTTTACTGATTTCAGAGAGGAAGGGAGAGGGAGAGAGAGAGAGAGAGAGAGAAATATCAATGATGAGAGAAGCATGGATCGGCCGCCTCTTGCACGTCCCACACTGGGGATGGAGCCTGCACCCCAGGCACGTGCCCTGACTGGGAATCGAACCCTGACCTTCTGGTTCATAGGTCGACGCTCAACCACTGAGCCACGCCGGGCGGGCTCATCAGGAAGTTCTTGAAGAAAGTGCTTCCCCCAATGAGAGGGCTAAGGAGGAGGAAGACGCGACAGCAGGAGAGAAGAGCATGAGCACAGGATGGCGATGAGGGGAGCAGCCAGGATGACGGCAAGAAGACGTCTGAAGACCTCACTCTGGAGCGAGAAGACCCAAGTGGGAAACAGAATCACCGAGAGACGCCCCAGGTCATCAGCATGTGCCGCAGGGCTTCCCGGGTGCTCACAGGGAGCGGAGGGTGAACTAGTGACAGGCACTCAGGGAGCGGAGTCAGGGAACCTGTAGCTGGTTAGTGATGATAAAGACAGCGCAGGAAAGGGAACGCCACCCCAGCAGTCCACGTGGTCGCCCGCAGCAGCAGCCACAGCACACGGTCCCGTGACAGACTCTCACTACGCGTGTACTACAACTGAGTATCTTACAGAACTCTTTCCCTCCTTGCTCTGGGGCTGCCCGATCACACCAGACGATGAAGGGGCCCCGTGACCCCCGGGCCGCAGTGAGAAGCAGTGCTTCTGGCTGAGCATCCTGTGCCAGCACGACCCCCCTGCTCTCTCCCAGGAGGAGGCCCTCCCTGCGTCTGACGCTCACCTCCGCGCTGCACCTGCCCTAGAAGCTTACAGGCACAGCGGAGGCATTGGACAAAACCCAAGGATGCATCTGATTTAGGAAAATGCAAATCATCTCCACGTTTTTATTAGGAGGCACAATCGGTATCAGGCTCCAAATCCTCACTGTGACTGAAATAAAGTCAATGGGGGGCCTGGCCATGTGACCATGAGAGGACACGGTAAGAGGCAAGGTGGCGCTGACGAGGACGGGAGAGTCCACTTACGCGGATGAAATCCATCAGTGTGTTATAGATGAAGGCTCCCCTGGGAAGGAAGAAACAGCTGCCCGGACTCAGGTCGTGGAAAAAGAAAAGCTCTTGGTCCTGAAACGAAACCATAAATTGATGTCAAATGCCACAGTGGGTGCTTAATGTTTACTACACATGTGACACGCCAGACATGAAATGTGCACAGTCCTCATTTCCATTCTCTGACCATTGTACCCAAGGCCCCTCAATACTCCCACCTCACTGTCCTGCATAGCACACGGGAAACGACCCTTTGTATTGACTGTCTCACTAACTAAGCTTTGAACAGTAGCTTTTCCTTCGCCTTCTATTTACTGCTACTTTCTTACTTGGCCTCTTGGAGGATGGGTGTCATGGGGAGAAAACACGGCAAAAAGATCAGAAATATTCACCCCTGGCCCGGCCCGTGTGGCTCAGTGGTTGAGCATCGTCCAATGAACTGGGTGCGATTCCCGGTCAGGGCACAGGCCCGGGTTGTGGGCTCGATCCCCAGTGGGGAGCATGCAGGAGGCAGCCGATCTATGATTCTCTCTCATCACTGATGTTTCTCTCTCTCTCTCTCCCTTTCTGAAATCAATAAAATATATTTTTTAAAAGCTATTTAAGAACACAGGAGGAGAAATGTTACTTTTGGAACCGTTTACTTTTGGGACGGAATCGCGAGCCGACAGAGGCACGCGCCATCGCAGGGGTGACGAGGATGCTGGCCCACCTTCCCGATTCGCCGGTGGTCTCGGCTCTTGGCCTCCTCTTGGACCTTCTCCCAGGCTCTCATCGCCTTGCTCTCGGGGAAGGATATCCCGTAGACCCGCTGCAGCACTTCCATGGCGGGGTTGCCCTCCCAGTAGGTGGAGGAATTCTAAGCATCCAACAACGTTCTGGTGAGCGTAGCTAATATTCGGTTATAAATAAAACCTGTCTTACATATGCACAGCTTTCCGATACAGCATCAACACAGCTTACATGACGGCGACCTATTGCAGCGCTGGAAAGACTCTTCAGTTGGTTCTAACTAAACCTTCCCAGTCCAAATGCACCAGTACATCACGTAAAGAGCCCAGCCGGGGTGGCTCAGTGGTTGAGCATCAACCCATGAACAGGAGGTCACGGTTCAATTCCCGGTCAGGGCATATGCCCGGGTTGCGGGCTCAATCCCAGTGGGGGGCGTGCAGGAGGCAGCCGATGGACGATTTTCCATCATCGATGTTTCTGTCTCCTCTCCCTCTCCCTTTCTCTCTAAAAACCAATTTAAAAAAAAGACATATATATATATAAAAAAAGACATATAGCCCTAGGCTGGTTTGGCTCAGTGGACAGAGCGTTGGCCTGTGGGATGAAGGGTCCCGGGTTCAATTCAGTCAGGGGCACATGCCCGAGTTGTGGGCTCAATCCTCAGTACGGGGCGTGCAGGAGGCAGCCAATCAATGATTCTTTCTCATCATTGATGTTTCTCTCTCTCTCTCTCTCTCTCTCTCTTCCTCTCTGAAATCAATAAAAATGTATGTATATAAAAAAATTAAAAAGACATATAAAAAAAAGAAAACCAGTATGTACCACAATATCATAACCAGTTAACTGCCACGATGTTTTGAATTTAATTAAAAAAGGTCCGCCGCTTGCGTCTATAGACGCTTATGGAGTACAAACGGTAAAATATCACATGAACAAGAAAAATGCATTGCAACACAGTAAGGTTAAATGAAAACTATAAAAGCTACATATAATGTCCTAATAATCAAAACTCTAAAAAAAAAATTACACTGTTTTTATAGAAGCCCATGTAAACATCAAATAATGAAGGGTTTTTAAAAGTAGCATGATGTTCAGATTATAAAACATATGACTGAAATTCCTAATTATTTAGTTGATCTTCAGTCTGCCCTATTAACAGCAATAGGCCCTCACCTTGAAAATTTTTATGGTTTTGATTTTTCCGGTGTGTCTCACGTGGGGGCCTTTACAAAGGTCGATGAGCGGGCCGCACCTGTAAGGAGATATTTCAGACAGGGCCAGTGCCATCCTGAGAGACAAAGGAAAAGCAGTGGCTGCCTTCGTGATAACATTTCCGAGCCCCTAACTAAAGTGACACGTCGACGTGCACATTTACAAGTAGACACCGCCCCAGGCCAACTGCTTCTCCTGCTGATCCTTCAAGAGAACCACTGAGCCCTAGCAGGTTTGGCTCAGTGGGTAGAGTGTCAGCCTGCGGACTGAAGGGTTCTGGGTTCGATTCCAGTCAAGGGCACATGCCCGGGCTGCGGGCTCGATGCCCAGTGGGGTGCATGCAGGAGGCAGCCGATCCATGATTCTCTCCCATTACTGTTTCTATCTCTCTCTCCCTCTCCCCTCCTCTGACATCAATAAAAATCTATTTTTTTTAAAAAGAGAACCACTGGGCAGGTTTAAGCTTTACATGCACGTTACCTGTAAACCGTGGTGGTTGGAGTGTTAACCTTCTCGTTCAAAATGCGGCACTTAAACTTATTGTACTACAAAGAAAAACAAATTTGTATGTTATTACGTAAAAAGTTTACGTGGGAAAGTATTTTCTTTTTTGCAACAAACACTGAATGGGTGTTCACTGCATTCTAGGTGCTCAGATCCTGGGGATATACAGAGCTCACAGCCCGGTCGGCGTGGCTCCGTGGTCAGAGCGTCAGCCTGCACAGCGGATGGTCACAGATTCTGTTCCTGGTCAAGGGCACGTACCTGGGTTGCAGGTTCCAAACCTGCCCCTGGTCAGGGTGCATGTGGGAGGCAAACACTGGATGTGTTTACCTCCCATGGATGTTTCTCTCTCTCTCTCTCTCTCTGTCTGTCTGTCTCTCTCTCTCTCTCTGTCCCCGTCTGCCCGCCCTTCCACTTGCTCTAAAAATCAATGGAAAAAAGATCCTCAGGTAAGGATTAACAACAAAAAGTTGTCTATGTTAATTACCTTTAATCTTCCTATAACCAGGTTTTCTCCTCCTAAACAGCTTCTTGAAATTATCTGGCCCTAGCTGGTTTGGCTCAGAGCATCGGCCTGTAGACTGAAGGGTCCCGGGTTTGATTCCCGGTCAGGGCACATGCCCCGTTGCAGGTTCGATCCCCAGTAGGGGGCGTGCTGGAGGCAGCCGATCCATGATTCTCTCTCATCATGGATGTTTCTCTCTCTCTCTCTTCCTCTCCCTTCCTCTCTGAAACCAATAAAATACACACACACACACATATATATATATTTTTTTGTTTTAAGAAGAAGTTACCTTAAACATCTCCAGAAGGACGTCCTTGCTGACTTCCAACCTTTCAAAAGGCTGCTTTTCCTTTGTAATCGTCTTGCAGATGCTCTCCAGCGCCGGCAGCTCCGTGCTGGACACGGCTCTGCAGGGGGGAGCAGGTGAGAATCAACACTTTCCGGTCCTCGCCGCGTGCCTGTGTGGCCTTGGTCCTGCAGCCTGTCACTCACCGACAAGCTTTCTCGGCGGAGGAACTTGGTGGCTTTTTAAAATTTATATGTTTATTGATTTCAGAGAGGAAGGGAGAGGGAGAGAGAGACATCAATGATGAGAGAGAATCACGGATGGGCTGCCTCCTGCACGCCCCCTACCGGGGCTCGAGCCCGCAACCCGGGCCTGTGCCCTGACTGGGAATCGAACCGTGACCTCCTGGTTCCTAGGTCCCCACTCAACCACGGAGCCACGCCGGTCAGTCGGGACTTGGTGTTTTGATGCACCAGGACTTCAGAAAATCAGACATTCACCCGAAGGCAGATAACTTTTCCCGGATAGGGAGACGGGCATTAATGGATGGAATGATCTGCCTTCAGGCTCTTCGATGAGGCCTGCACTTTGAAAGCCCCGTTGGGCCTGAACGGCATGGCTCAGTGGTTGAGCGTCGAATTATGAACCAGGGCACATGCCTGAGTTTCGGGCTCGATCCCCGGTGTGGGGATTGCAGGAGGCAGCTGATCCATGGTTTTCTTTCACCATTGATGTTTCTATCTCTTCCACTCTGAAATCAATAAAAATATCATTTATAAAAAATGTAACCGTGATAAAACAATGAGCCCGATCCACGTGCACTCCGAAGTGAACGTTCAGTGGTGTTACCTGTCTTCGATGAACATGTCGTAATAAAACCCGTCCTCGATGGGTGGACCGTAGCACAGGTGGCCTCCATAGTAGAGCTCCATGGCCTCGCCCAGGACGTGGGCGCTGGAGTGCCAGTACACCTGCGGGCACAGGACACAGACACACGCTGCTGGCAATCAAATCACATCATGCAAAGGGAGTTAAGACGTGGTTCGGTGTTAACACCAGGCCTCAGGGCGACATCGGTTTGGAAACAAAACCAATGATATTGCCAACCAGAAAGCTGTGTCCTTTGATAAAAGGGCCCTTGTTCCTGGTGTGCACATTGATCAACTTTACAAGAACATTTTTACTCTGTCATTTTCTCCGTGCGTTTACCCAGAAGGCAGAAAGTATTTCTGTCCTGTGGTACATCATGCGCTACATTATAGATAGGATCATCTTTTAAAACAAAAGCTGGTTTTGCTCTGTGGATAGAGCACCAGCCCGTGGACTGAAGGGTCCCAGGTTTGATTCCGGTCAAGGCCACATACCGGACTGCAGGCTTGATCCCTGACCTTGGTTGGGTGCATGTGCAGGAGGCAACCAATCGATGTGTCTCTCTCTCTGTCTGTCCCCATCCCTTCCACTCTCTCTAAAAATCAATAGAAAAATATCCTCAGGTGAGGGTTAACCAGGAAAATAAATAAAGTTAAATTAAAGTGTAAGGGTTTGCTTTATAAAGGACCCTTAGATTTTTCAGTCAAACAGAAACTGCTTTTACAAAGTCATTATCACTTCGTAGACCTGAGTTTTCTAGACTTGTTTTGCTATAGCGTTTCTTTCTCATGGGTATGCACTCAATATTCGTAAATTGGTTGATAATCATAATAATAGGAAAATAAAACCCAGGGGGAAAAAATAAATTTTTGATGCTAAATTACACTAAAAGAAGCATCAGGCCTGGCCGGTGTAGTTCTGTGGTTGAGCGTCGACATGAACCAGGAGGTCACGGTTCAATTCCTGGTCAGGGCATATGCCCAGGGTCGTGGGTTCCATCCCCAGTGTGGGGCGTGCAGGAGGCAGCCGATCCATGATTCTCTCTCATCTTTCTCTCCCTCTCCCTTCCTCTCTGAAATCAATAAAAATACATTTTTTTAAAAAGTTACTGAATACCTATTAAATTGCGATAGACACGTTTTAAACCTTAGAGCGCCACAACACTCCTCGTGCCTGACTTCGATAGGTGGCTTTTTTGTTTAATATATATGTATATATTTTTTTGTTTGTTTGTTTAATATATTTTATTGATTTTTTACAGAGAGGAAGGGAGAGGGATAGAGAGTTAGAAACATCGATGAGAGAGAAACATCGATCAGCTGCCTCTTACACACCCCCTACTAGGGATGTGCCTGCAACCAAGGTACATGCCTTTGACAGGAATCGAACCTGGGACCCTTAAGTCCGCAGGCCGACGCTCTACCCACTGAGCCAAACCAGTTAGGGCTCGATAGGTGGTTTTGTACACGTTGTTTACAAACCACAGTCGAGTTGCTGGCTGTTGAAATACTCACAGCCTGTGCCTCCTCACTGTCAAACGTAAGCAGCTCCAGCGTGGAGTCCCCCTCCAGCGGGCGGTCCAAGTCCCATAATTCACCATTGACCTTGGCTATTACGGTGCTTTCGGCCAGCTCTCGACTGGTGAGAGAAAAAATCACCGGGCAGTTAACCTCGTCACGGGCTGTCATGATCTGTTAAAGCACAAGAATAAAGTCACTCCCGGGGTTTTTTCTTTGTTCCTTTGTTTGCTTGCTTTTTGAAATCCTCATCCAAGGATATTTTCCCATTGAATTTTAGAGAGAGTGGAAGGGAGGTGGAGAGACAGAGAGAGAAACATCAATGGGAGAGAGACACATCGATTGGTTGCTTCCTGCACGTGCCCCAACCAGGGTGGGGGATTGAGCCTGCAGCTAGGTATGTACACTCGACCGGGAATCGAACCTGGGACCCTTCAGTCCGAGGGCCGATGCTCTAACCAGTAGCCACACCGGCCAGGGCAAGAACAACACATTTTCAACAAGCTCTGGCCCAACACTTACTGCTGAACATCGCCCGGCACGGGTGGCTCAGTGGTTGAGCGTCGACCTATGAACCAGGAGGTCAGGGTCTGATTCCCGGGTTGCAGGCTGGATCCCCAGTGGGGGGCATGCAGGAGGCAGCCGATCGATGATTCTCTCTCATCGATGTTTCTCTCTCGCCCTCTTCCCTCCTCTCTCTGAAATCAATGAAAACGTATTTTTTTAAAAAGGCTCACAATAGCCAAAAAAAACCCCACCTGAAATCTTCTCCAACCTATGGTTTACCTGATGTCAGCAGCCACCTGGTACGGTGTGGTTTTCCACGCCTCCCCTTCCGCGGTTTTCCCATCGGCCACCCTCACTGTGATGGCTTCGCCTGCGCTCCCCTGGCTCCCACCGGGGGCACGTGACAGCTGATGCTCTTTCTTCAATGTCTCAAACAGGGCCAGTCTTTCCTTTATGAAGTCTGGTTGGTTTCTCACCTGAAAATCATTGGCATGCACTCAGGTTAGCGTACACACCCCACCTTTTCCTTTTTAAAAAAAAAAATTTTTTTTTTAAGTTTCAGAAAGAGGAAGGGAGAGGGAGAGAGAGAAACTTCAGTGACGAGAGAGCATCGTGCATCGGCTGCCTCCTGCACGCCCCGAGCACGTCTCAATGACAGGCAGCGTCTTATACCATTTCCAGAGCAACGGCTGACCTCGCTCTCAGGCTCCCGTTCCTCCGTCGCATTTTGAATGTCCTTTCCTTGGTTTTGGCGAGGAGGAGGCTGGGAGGGAAAGGCAAACGGTAAACAGCTCATGCCCGTGACACGAAAGAGCAACACATCTGAGACACGAGGGAGGAGGGGGACATGCCAGCAAGTGCCCCCCGTGTCGTGTCGGGGCCCTTAGCTGGGCTGTCCTGAGCACCCCCTGCAGCCCTCCATGGGCAAGTTGTTTTCTGAGGTTTGGTCCTTCCTGTCTGGGAATTCTCCTATATTCTTGCTAAAAACAGGATATATAGGGTGTCCCAAATGTCACGCAAGATTTGAATTTTGCGTGAACGTTAACAACAACAAAAAAATAAAAGCCTCATTTTACTTGGTTTATTGAATCAGATTCTCATATCTGTTGCCCTTTGATGTCAATCCCTTCCATTTGATAAGCATCAACAAGTACCAATGATGGCCCAGGAGCAGGGACAAGGAAGACCCATGAAGACCGCGGCGTTGTGTCTGTGCCAGCAGAGCCGGGGAGGCCATTTACCCGATGTGCTATTCCACACATAACCCTAGACTGTGTCCTTTATGAATCAATAAAAAATTTACAATTTTTAATTATAAACCTGTGTTTTCTATCAAAATTACTTCTTGCGTGAATTTTGGGACAACCTATATATATATATATATATATATATATATATATATATATATACACATATATATACACACACACACATATACATACATATATATATTTAAATATGTTTTTATTGATTTCAGAAAGGAAAGGAGAGGGAGATAGACACATCCATGATGAGAGAGCATCACAGATCGGCTGCCTCCTGCACGCCCCCCACCCGGGATCTAGCCCGAAACCCGGCCCGTGCTCTGATCGGGAATCGAACCCTGACCTCCTGGTTCATGGGTTGATGCTCAACCACTGAGCCACACCAGCCGGGCTATTTTTATATGCTTATTGTATTTTAAATCTAAATAGATTTAATGTATTTTAAAGTCCCCCCCCCCCCCGCCCTAAACTTTAAACAAATAATGGCACTGGAAAACGGGTGTGTGGCTGCCACCAGAGACTTTAAGCCCATTATTTCATGAAGATGTGGATAGGGCTCCCTGGTTTTCAAGGACTGTCTCGCCCCCACCGCCCCCACCCGGGTCTGAGAAAGCCTTCAAAACGCAGGAAATTCATCTGCCCATCAATGAACTGAAACAGTACAATCCTGCATGAAATACGGATGCTCCATACCCAGACCTCAAGACAGCAAGACCCCAACCTGCCCAAGCGAGGAACAGAGCTTTCAACGCGCCAGCATTTTCTTTTCTTTCCAAGCAAAGGAAGCTGCTGTTCCAGCTCCTACAGAAACGGGGGGGGCGGCGATGGATCGGGGAGCTGAGCCAGGGCACCCCGAGGTCAGCCGGGCGGCTGCGGGGAAGGCAGCGTCCCGGGGTACCCGGAGGAAGGACCGCGCCCCGCACAGCCCTCCGGGCGCCGCCCGCACCCGCACCCGCCCTTCCCGGGGAGAAACACGCTCAGTGTGCACCTCGGGGCGCCCTACCGAGCCCCCCGCCGGGAGTCCCCAGCGCCCCGCTACCTGCGCGCCGGCAGCCGCGCGCCCGGCCTCCTCCGGCGCCGCCTGGTGGCTCTGCTCCTCCGCGAGGCACAGCCGCAGGCGGGACAGGCGGCGCCGCAGGTCGCGGTTCTCCGCCCGCAGCTGCGCCACCTCCCGCGTGAGGCAGGGCCCCTCGGCCGGGCCGCGGTCCGGCGCGTTCAGCTGCGCGTCCCTCAGGCGCTGGACCTCGGCCCACAGCCAGCGGATGTCCTCCTCCTGCCGCTGCAGGCGCGAAGCCACCGCCTCGGCCGCCAGGGCCTCGGCCGCCATGGCGCCCGCCTCCCTCGGCAAGAGCGCCGCGCGGGGTGGCAGGTGGTGGCAGTGGCGGCGGGGACGGGGAGGACGGAGGGGCAGCGGGGACGGGACACAGCGCGAGGGGCAGGGCGACGGGGAGGGCCGGGGCCATGGGAACTGGGGAGGCGGGGCTGCGGTTACGTATAGCGCAGGGGCGGGGCTATGGGAACCGGAAAGGCGGGACTGCGGTTACGTACAGCGCAGGGGCGGGGCTATGGGAACCGGAAAGGCGGGGCTGCCGTTACGTACAGCGTACCGGAGCTGCTACGGGAACCGGGAAGGCGGGGCTACGGTTACGTACAGCGTACCGGCGCGGCTACGGGAACCGGGAAGGCGGGGCTACGGTTACGTACACCGCAGAGGCGGAGCGACGGAAACTGGTGAGGCGGGGTTACGTACAGCGAAGGGGCGGGAATATGCAAACTAGGGGGCGTGGCGATGTTGAGAGGCGGGGCTGCGGCTACGTACAGCGTAGGGGCGGGGCTATGGGAACTGGGTAGGCGGGGCGACTGGGGGAGGCGGGGCTGCGGTTACGTAACCGCAGGGGCGGGGCCGAGGCGGGGCACACTGGCGGAGTAGGGGCCGCTGGGGGTGATACCCCGCGCTAGCTGGGTCTGGAGGGTGGTGAGGGGCCCGAATAAGCTCAAGGTGCTTTCAGGGCTCTTAGCTTGCCGCCAGGCGTCGGTTGAAACGCAAATGGTCCAAAACCTTGGAAAGGCCAACGCCTTTGGCTCTTGTGGCTCCTGTGTCCACCCTCAGGAATTCTGGCTTCCACTGTTCTCTCATCTGGCTTCAAGCCTGATAATTAGACAAAGATCTTATATGCGTGTATGCATTCCCTATGGACACAGACAATAGGGTGGCGAGGGCCTGGGGTGGGGCGGGAACCGGGTGGAGGGGAGCTATGGGGGGAAAAAAGAGGGACATCTGTAATAATCTCAATAATAAACATGAAAAAAAAAGTGGCCACTGAGAACCAGCCTTCTTTGGCCTTCATGCCACGGCTGGCCAAGTGCAGAGGCTGCTGGGCCAGGGTACCTAGAAGAGATCTGACAAAACTTTAAATCTGACCCGCAGGTGCGAGTTCCTGGAGGCCAGGGAAAATGCCACACGTACATTATTGGTATCGCTCACAACCAAGAGCAAAAATGGATTTTTATGAACCTCCTTAGGGGTTAGAACGTGGCAAACATTGTGCTGAGCTCTTCGCAGATAGTAACTCTAATGCTTATAACAGGAGAAAACCAGGCCCATGCATATAGATGGAGAAGCCGGAGCACAGAGAGGCTAAGTAACTTGACTGAGGTCACACAGCCACACTGCATGACGGCTGAGATTCAGACTCCGACCGAGGCTGGTGCCTTGCGGCCTTGGTGAGGCTGAACTGAATGTGTCATGTGACGAGATCCAGGTGATAAATGCCAGGAGCGCTCCCAAGCTGTTTGCATTAAGCTCCCGGGAATCACAAGGAGCCCCCAGGAAGAGGCGCCATGTAGAAGGGCCCTAAAACATTGTACCTTTCCCCTCCCCCTCCCTGGTAAGTGTTATGCCCAGAATTCAAGATCCCCAAGAAACCATGCCAGGGAGTCAGTCCGATGCAAAAGCAGAAGGTCCTTTATTGAGTTAGCTAACCCGACCCGGGCCTCCAGTCAACGCAGTGACCGGAAACCGAGTGCGACCCATGTGAAAATCCGGGCTTTCATAGTGAGGGGAGGGGAGCTGGCTGTGACCCTGCCGATTGGCCAGGCGCAAGTCTGAGCAAATGGCCTCTGCCCCATCATTCCCCCCTTGTCTTGGAACTTCCGGCTCAATCATGAGACGGACTGCACTTTTATTTCACCGTCGCTAGGGGCCCGTAGTGAGCACACAGAACTATCAACTGAGCTATTTTATACACTTAACAAATGGTCCGGTGGAAGGGAAAGAAACCATTTTAGCTTTAACAACTTCTATTGAAATAGGATTTTTCTTCTTAAAATTCCTCCATGGCTATTAAAAAGCCAAATAAAGATTATACTGTCCTGATGTTTGCATAAACACAACAAGAATGGTAACTGACTACCTTTGCTGGAATTTCATGGTTGAACCTTAATGTGCCCCGTAGGGCCAGGAAGCCAAGCCATCCAGCTGCCATCAGGCCTGCCTGCAGTATCTGCTGAGTTAGGTGAATCCCTCACCTGTAGCAACTCCACCTGAGCCCATGCTCCAGGCTTTAAGGCCCATCTCAGTAGCCCTCCTACTCGTTGCGGCCCAGAGTGTGTGGGGGTTCTGCAGGGATGCAGAGGCATCTTTACTGCTCCCCTTCTACTCTTACCAACCGCCAGTGATGGTAGGGCATGGGCCTGACGCTCCAGCGCCAGCCGTCTTCAGGGCTCCCAGGCAGGATACCAGGCTTTCTTCGTGGCATTCTTAGTGGCTTCAAGTCTTTAGAGCTCAGATAGGGCTCTTTAAAACATGATACTCCAGTCAAAGTTTTCCGTTAATAAAACCACTACTAGGCACCAGTCTTACTGAATCTATGCAAAGAAACGTACTTACTTAGCATTGCCAGATTTTGGAGGAATTACATAAGGAGAAAAACATACTGATTTACTCTAAGATTTTCTGACTTTCCTTGCTAATTTCTTTTCATGGATTTAAAACAAAACAGTAATTGTTGGTCCATGCCTCAGACTTTCTAATCTAAACAGGCTTTTTCCAGCTTTACTACCCCTGACATGGGCATGGTGACTCAGGCCTGCAAGACAGTATTACAGGCTGTCAACTGTTAGCTGTCTCTCAACAGAGACCAAAACCTGATGGGCACCCTTCCCTGCCCAGTTGGGCACTTGTCCTCTTGGCAGCTAGACACCCTTTACTTTTGGGGGTCACCCCACACAGCTCCCTTCCAGGACAGCCAACATACAGTCAAACCTGCAAAAGAATCAAAGGTCAATATAACATATCAATACAATAAAACATGATACTAGACATGTGATCCTATGAATTGTCCTTGTCATTTTGGAGCCGTGTCCATGAAGGCGCAGGCATTATCTAAATCTATTTAATGTTACCAGCATCACGCAGGTCGAGCACGCCGTAGCTTGAGCTTGAGCGGGTTGCGTGGATCTCGATCGACGCTCTATTTGGTGATGAAGTCTTTCCGGATGGACCCAGGTCGTGACGCCGTCTACCTTGAGAGCGGTGGGGGTCTTCAGCACCACACCCTTCCAACGTGGCTCTAGGGTCTCCCAGCAGTACCTTCTGATGTAGACCCAATCTCCTGGTCTGTGCTGATGAGGAGTTGGGGTTGGGCTGGTCCCATAGATGGCGCGGAGGCGCGACCAAATGTCCTCGTGCGCCCTCTGGAGCCCTCTCAAGGAAAGAGTCCTCCTCTCTTGGAGAACTTCAAAGTCCTGATGGAACCCTGTTTATCAGTTACAGGGCTCTGCTTTCTTGTCTTTCTACCAGTTCCCTTTTTGGCAGAGCAGCAACCAGGCCTCTTTCAAGGGAGTGTGCTAGAAGTGGGTATCAGCCCCTCCTTTGCTAGCAGCAACAGGTACCAAACTCTTTCAGTACATTTGACCAGCTTCATTCCCGCCCACCTTTACAGATTCTAAGGTCCATTGTTTTCCTTTAACCAGCAAGCTAAATGACACTGGCCTGTATTATTTAATTCAGCACAGGCAGGGGGAAGGGCCCATGGAATCTCTGCCCTGAGGAACTGTGAGCCCTACCCTTAAATGTCCCAATCAGACTAGAAAAGTCACAAATATCTTTTAAATCTACCCCAGAATTCCAAAATCCCAACCTAGCACAGAATATACTTCCACATTTATATGAACAAATAATTATACCCAAGTAGACATACAAACATCAAATAAACATTTACACCCTTTTAGTGAACAAGTACCTTTACAGTCTTGGGATCTTGAGCAGACAGGAACAGATGTGGAGGCCTCCCTTTCTCACATCCTAGGACAGGACTTTTGACCTATGTCTCATCCAGATAGAAACGGTCCACATTTATACCACAAAATACCAACAAATCAGTTTCAGTTGTGTAGCCAGTTCGAGTTTTGACTTCTCTCTGGAAGTCTCAGAGATGGTGAATGCCATCTAGAAGCCATTAATCCATTCACACAATCCCCCAAAAGTTAAAGAGGAAGGAAAGAATCATTCAATGTCATTCAAGATGATTTCGGCTAAACAACAAAATTGACAGATTAAACACATTGGAAAACCAAGGCCAGAAGTACCCTCTGACGTTTCAGGGGTACCAAGGAAAGAGAAGTTAGGCCACGTTCAGCCCTTCTCACAATTCACCATTAGTGACCAGTCCCAGCTCACTGGTATATTATTCACTTAACATTTCTTTTTTTCTCCTATCACACCAAGGCCATGCTTTCCAGGTAGCTAGAACTTTTAGCCTTAATTTTTAGGTGATTAGCACTAGTTAAACAATTTTAAACAACAAAGATACATATTTAAGTAAACACATTATCTAGAACCTAGGTTAAACTTAGGCATATCCTGGGTCTCCCAAACACTGAGTTGGCAAGGTAACTGGAGCCCTTTAAGATCAGTATGAAACCACAGTTTCTACCTGAAATCCTTTTAAAGACTTTGACATAACCTTTAATTGTCCTTAGTTTAAGGGAAGCAGGGTTTTCTGGATTTCATTTCTCAATACTTAACCAACAGATTTAATTCTGTCTTCTAGATTTTTCATGAGGCAAATTACTTTTTACTTTCAAGCGGCTCTGGAGAACCACATTCGAGCCTTGCAAGACAGGTTTTTGGCCTCCCTGGTCTTTTCAGATGTAAATTGACGACATTCTTTAAGATTTTCCTGCAGGCAGGAGGCGACTATCTCCTCCCTCCATTAAGAAAAGCTTTCTTAATTAACAAAGGACCAGTTTTTGTGTGTGTGTTTTTTTTTTTTTTTCCCTCTTTGGAAAAACTGTTCTTTATTATGGGTTAGGCTTGGGATTTATCCTGCACATTTGAAAGGAGACGCTAGCCCAAAACCCTATCCAAAATCGGACGGTGCGCACATTAGTTTTAAGCCAGCTTTTCTCCTTACACGTGCATAGAAATCCCAGACGCATTTACTTGGGGAG